TTTTTTCTTCCCCTTCTCTTTCTTTTTCTTTTTAATGATTGGAATGGATATTTTAATTCCTTTTTTCTTCCTTTTTTTTAACTCCCTTTTTTCTTTTTATTATAATGATCTTCTTTTGAGGGAGTTATGATTTTCTTTTGAAGGAATTTTTGCAATTCTTAAGAAGGAGTAAAGTTTTTTTTTAAGATGGCTCCAAAGCGTCCAGGGACTTCTACAGTTCCTAAATCAATAGTTCCACCCTCTTCTGTGGTCCAGCCAACAATTGTGAAGGATTTGCAAGATATGATGGGAAATGTTACAATTCAAATTAGGGCAGAAATGAAAAAGATCTTAGAGGAAAATAATAAGATTTTGAGGCAAGATATAGTTTTGGCTTTAAAAGGAGTTGCTTCTGTTCTTGAAAAGTTGAATTCCCGTGTGGAAGAGGTAGCTGAAAAAGTGGAATTAATGGAGGGAAAAATTGAAAGTATGGAAAAAGAAATGGAAAATGAGATTCTTATGCTTCAATATGGACAAATGGAATATGCCTTAAGAATTAGAGGCTTGGGAGAGTCCTTGTAAGGAGATCTGAAAGAGATGGTTGCAAAGGACTTTGCTGTGATTTTGAATAAAGAAAGAGAGGAAATACTTAGTGAAATTGAAAAATTATTTAGGGTTAATTCCGTGGTGGCAGTGCAAAAGAACTTGCCAAGAGATGTGGTAATTTACTTTGGGAAAAGATCTCTACGCAATGAAATTATACAAGCTTTTTATAAGAAGAGATTTCAAATTGCTTCACAAGATGTTATAATCTTAAAGGAGATCCCATCTAAAATTTTAAGAAGAAGAAAGGAGTTTGCTTTTTTAGCAGATGAACTTAAAAAGAGACGAATCTCGTTCAGATGGGATGTTCCGATTGGAATGGTGGTGAATTACCTGGGGATATGTTATAGACTTAATACTGTTTCTCAAGCAAAAGATTTTTATACTTCGGTCCTGGAGGTATGTTCATCGCCATCTATTAAGCTTAAAGCCTTGGAAGAAAAGAATGTAGAATTACAGTTTGAAGAGCCTAAAATTGGGGAACCTTTGCTTGAGAGGCCTCAACAAGTTCAGATTGAGGAGCAGAAGATAACTTGTGTAGCATATAACTGTAAAGAAAAGCAGCAACAGAAGAAGGCTAAGGAAGCCTCACATCTAGTGGTTTCTGAATCTGCGGGAGAAGCAAGACTTATAAAGCCTTTGGAGCAATTGTCTGAAGAAATGGAAAATGGGAAATTTCAGCTTGAGGGGTTTCAACAAGCTGAGAGGAAGGGGCAGAGGACAACTCGTGCAACATATAATTGTAAAGACCAACAGAATAAGGAGTTTGAGGAATCCTCACATGTATTGGCTTCGGAGTCGTTGGGAGACTTAGGAATTTTGGAGCAATTTTTAAAGGCAGATTTCAAAGCATTTCTCTCGAGCTTGATAAAGATAAGGACGGAGAATGAAAATTAGAGATTGATAAGGATGGAGAATGAAAATGGACAATTGAGACTGATAATAATATCAGTATGATAAGGATGGAGAATGAAAATGGACAATTGAGACTGATAAGGACTGTGTTTCTCGTGGATGGAATTTGTTACTGGTGAAGATTTAAATGTTTAATGTGTTTATTGTGGATGAAATTTGTTATTGATAAAGATTTAAATGTGTATAAGGGAATTTTAATGTTTTAAGTCTTAAGTAATGTTTAAATGTGTTTTGGAGGGAGTTTATAAAGAATGATAATAATATCAGTATGATATCAAAAGGTTTGGAGTATACTATAATGTGTTTAGTGTTTGGGTTTTTTTAATTATTATTATTATTTTTAAGATGGAATTTGATTAAATGCGTATAAGGGGATTCTAATGTTTTAAGTTTTAAGTAATGTTTAAATTTGTGTTTTGGAGGGAGTATAACTTGTTTATTCTAATGTTTTAAGTTTTAAGTAATGTTTAAATTTGTGTTTTGGAGGGAGTATAACTTGTTTAACTAAATGTATTCAGATTTGTTTATGATTCATATTAGATTTTATATTGTAGATATAGATGTTCAAAGAAAGTAGTGTTTAAAATTGTGTTTTGGAAGGAGTTTATATAGAATGATGGATAATATAAGTATGATTAGAAGATGTTCAGAGTATATTATAATCTGTTTAATGATTCTAATTACTATTTTTTTTAGAGAAGATAATTTATTTAATTTAAGGTATTTAGATTTGTTTAGGACTTATATGTGTTTTAAGTTTTTCTTTTCTTTTTTTTTGAAGCATTTTGGACAAGCCTGTAATCAACTCTGGGAGGGCTAGGGGAGGGTTAGGGAGGTTTGGGGAGTTGGGGGAGGGTATGGGAGGGTGGGTTTGGGGAGGGAATTTGTCTTGTAAAATCTAAAAAACTTTCAATTAAAAAAAAAAGAAAGCTAATTTTACCATCTGTACTAGTTCTGTCATTTCCACCAGTTCCTCCATTTGTATTTTTGAGTTTTTGCTAGCGTATTTCTGATCCTAGTAAAGAATTGTGTCATGATTAAGAAGACTTTTTTGTTTCAATGAAGAATGATCATATATTTTTATTTCCACCTTTATTATTTTTACAAATAAGTCAAGGCAGAAAACATATCCAACATACCTTCCTTGTAATCATACATGACCTACACCTGTAGGCAACTTGTTCATAAATTGCAAATAACGTTAAGCCTTCATTCAATCCATTACGATTTCTGCTTTCAAGCAATATATGTAAGTACCGAACATAACTGCTTTAGGACATCTGATGATTTTAGCCATGACTCTGATGTACCTACTATTTTTGAGATTAACATTTTTTTTTTTTTTGCTTTTTTCCTTTTTTTCCTCAGCCATGGCAGCCCTTATGCTAAGAGAGCTGGAATTTTGTCTAACTTATGATTTGTTGAAGATTAAATCCCTAATAAGTTCCATGAGCAAAAAAATTAAAAGTGGTAAATTCTATGACTTATCACCCTTCCCTCCCCTCTTAGCTCTTGCTTATAAGATAACGCAGTTGTGTTGAACTGTAAGTATGCAAGAAATGCTACATAAATAGCAGTAAGAAGCATCTGCCCCCTTGGAAAGGGGACATAATAAAGCAGTATATGAATACGGATATTAAAATAACTGGCTGACCATTTGGGAGACAGGAAAGCTATCATCTCTGTGCTCCAAGCCTACGAAACCAGCATATCTGTACTCCATTTACCAATTTTTAATGAAATGTAAGCACAAAACTCCACGGAGTTCCTTTAACTTCTTTAGCTTCAGCTGAGAGTCCTCTAGGTAGCTCTCCAGGGCAATAAAACGTCCTTTAATATGCGGCAGTGATTGCAAAACTGAGGGATCCAGGGTTCCTGGAGTTTTCTACTTTCTGCAAAACAGACACATCCTCACCCGCACCCTACCCCCTGTAAATAGAGGAAAGGCATATCTTTTATACCTGCAAAGAGGTTTGGCTCTAACAGTGGCGTTTCCCAACCCAGAGAATGTTGCAGCAGCATGTTGAATGTGTGAAGTTCTGTGTGAGTTTTGGCTGGGAGAGGGAGAAACATGGTGGCGCAGTGGTTAGAATGCAGTACTGCAGGCTAATTCTGCTGTCACAGTTCAGCAGACCGATTCTCACCGGCTCAAGGTTGACTCAGCCCTCCATCCTTCCATGGTCGATAAAATGAGGACCCAGATTGTTGGGGGCAATATGCTGTTTCTGTAAACTGCTTAGAGAGGGCTGTAAAGGACTGTCAAGTGGTATATAAGTCTAAATGCTATTGCTATTTTTTGTTATTTTTGTAACTCCCCACTACAAAATGAGTGGGGAGTTACAAAAATAACAATAAAATAGCAATTAGTTTAGCAGACAATGAGGCTTGAGGGGAGACTTGACACTGTACTCATCGCTGCTTCAGACCTTCTTGGTTGATGACCCAACCTGGCAATGTTGGTGTTCCTGCAGTTGTATCTCTCAGAGTGCTCATATGTGGAGAGAAAGGAGCACTTTTTACAAGGTCTTGTTCAACATTTTGCACAAAGTGAACATCAAATAGGGGAATCTTTGAGGAAAACTGGCCAGAGCAATCCCAGATGGACCCAGGCAGAATAGACACTTAAGTCAACGGGCCATTCCAGCTACAGGCTTATGTTGGCTATGACAGTATGACAGGATACCTGAATTAATTTTTTTCTGAATGCTTACTTCTTCTGTTGCAGAAATAGGAAGAAAACTTGGCTTCTTCCTACTCTCCTTTTTTTCCCAGGTTGGAAAAAGCAAGGAAATGTAGAATGGGTGAGCCAGCAGCCATTTATGTATGTAGGAGCTCCACTACATGAGACTGAAGTATTGGGATTTATTTCCCATTGAAATGTGAAGCTGAATAGTTATAGCAGAGGCCAAGGATATCTAGTAGCTGTGAAATCCATTAAGGCAGTGTTTCTCAACCTTGACAATTTTAAGGCATGTGGACTTCAACTCCCAGAATTCCACAGCCAGCAATGCTGGCTGTGGAATTCTGGGAGTTGAAGTCCACATGCCTTAAAATTGTCAAGGTTGAGAAACACTGCATTAAGGACTGTACATTTTCTTTATGTGTCCTAAATCTATTAACTATCCCTGGATTGCCTTAAATTCTTATTGCTGTGTGAATTATTTCGCTACCATTCAAGTTTTTCCGCCTTTATGATATCACATTATCTGTCTTTCAAGCTTAGAAAGCCCAAAGTACTGTACATTCCCCTCTTAAGAATTATTTCCCAGTTTGTATCATGGATTTAAATTTAGGAGGTTTCGCATCACTGTCTCATTTACAGCTATTCCATCTGGAATTTTATTGCTCATCCACCATGTCTGGAATTTTTGTGTCTTGTATATATCCTTGTGAATAATTTGGGGTCATCTGAAAGCCCACCCATTTCATTACTCAGAACAGGGTCATTACATACCTTTTAAAAACTTGGCTACGTGAGACACACATTTCAGAAACAAACTCACTAACAGCTGTTGAAAAAAGGAAGGTAACCATTTAATATTCTTATTTCCAGACATAACACATCACATATGACTTCTGCACCAGGACAGCACAGCCAAGCAAGGCAAGGACAGAGCTGAGGTGAAGGAATGGGGGTTCATTCTTTGTCCCCACAACAACAGACTGTCACTATTGTGTACATTGTGGCCTGGAGGGAGGGTTCTATTAGCCCCGCCTTCGGTCCACTTGGCACCAAGAGAAAGTTCAGTTTTGCTGAGATAGGCAGACCCTGCTTATATATAGCAGTGGGAGGACAGTCACATATGTTTGGAGGCTGCAAGGAAGACGGGGCTTCATAAGGCAAATCTTCAGGGCGCCAGATACAGTTAGATGGGAGCCTCCCCACACAAGTAATGGCAAGAAGGAAGAAGTAGGAAGGGATGGGAAAGAGCTGGGACATCTCCTTGCCCTGGGCATCTTGGTTGGCTCCACCTTCAAGTAGGGAGAGCATGAGTGGCAGACTTTTAGGAGCAGCTTCTTGCTCCTTTCTGTCCCTCAGAGCTTTAGCTAGGACAAGTCTCCCCTCAATATGCTCACACTCCTGGGCCAGGAGGGGGCACGCAGAGGGGACAGAGCCTCCCTCATTATTTTATCGAGGCATCACTTGGGAGGTCAAGATCGGACTCCTCTGTTTCCTCATTTGGGGCTGATTCACAGTTCGGTACCGGAGTAAAAGCAGGAGATTTTCTGAAAGAAAAAAAGGGCGGGGGGTCACACGGGCACTAGGCCTAGGAAAAGAGGGAAGAAGCCTCAAAGGGGTCAGACACAGGACTCAAGAAGCATCAGGCCATAAGACAAGGGCACAGGTTGCATGGAGAGACTTGGCTGAAATGTTAAGGTTGCGTCATAACTAGAGTGGACGCTGTTGAAGAGCACAAAGAGGAGACTGAGGTCGGCAAGGAGGGAGCTCCATTGGTGTTCTTGCTAAGCCTAGGATTACAGTTGGATGGGAAAGTCAAAAGTCTTCCCCCAGCCCAGTGCTGATTGGATTCATTGTCCCATAAGCTAGTGCAAAAGCCTGGCCGATCAGTGGTGCTCCTTTTTCCGATGAAAGTTGTTGTTCGACAGCGATTGCGTCTGACAAAACTGCATCACCTTCTAGAGACACATGGCACGAAACACAACTCCCGTAAGTCTGCAAGGGGGGGTTACAGCCAATCACTCAGAATCCAGCTCAAATTTGCCATTCCCTCCCTCCCCCCTTGATGTGCTCTCCTAACGGAGAATTCCAGAAATCCATGTTGCCTGGTCTCACCCCTAGACCCTTCTGCACCTCTTAGTGCTGTCTGAGCTCATATGAGCCCTACACCCTACACTACCATAGTCCCCAACCCCACAGGCACTTACCTGTCTCCAGACTGGGTGATGAGGCGACGACATGTCTCCATCTGCACATCCAGCCCACGCTTCATGCTGCACATCTCCATGTATTCATGCAGATGCCGGTTCATGTCATTCTTTGCTGTTGCTAATTCCAGCTAAATAAAAGGGTAGCAACAAGAGGATTATTCTGCCAACAATATTGGGGACATTAAGCTATCTCCTGCTGCTCTCAAAAGGGTGGGTTGTACCTATGTTGCTGGCCAGGCCTATATTCTCTCACTCTGTAGCTCAACTTTGTCACATACATACCATGTTTCCCCGAATATAAGACCCGGTCTATTATTTTTGGTGGCACTAAGGGACACATTATGGCTTATTTTCAAGGAAACACAGTATCAGAGTGATCAACCCGGCTGGGTGTCCAGCAGCCACTGCAGCTCACAAATCCCTTGGTGCACTGCAGGTAAGTCCAAGTGCGGAGGCAGAGGCAGGAGGGGAGGCAGACAATCTGGACATGCTGCACAGCCACCCGGCTTGCACAAACCTCGTGTGAGCCTTGTGTGAGACAGGCGGCTGCTTAGCACACCCAGATCGCCTGCTCCCCCACCTCCACCTGCTGCCAGTGCCATGTTGTGAGCCTCCCTCAAGCCAGGCGGCAATGCAGCATATCCAGATCGCCTGCCTCCCTCCCCACCTCTGCCTCCACACTCAGACTTACCTGCGCTGCACAGGCTGCGGCCAGACACTGTCGGCCCCTGCAGGCTCGCCACCTCCTGGCTTGCCACGCCCACCCATCCCCGGGTTTATTTTTGGGGTAGGGCTTATATTAGGAGAACACTAAAAATCAGGGTTGGGCTTATTTTCTGAGTGGGTCTTATTTTTGGGGAAACATGGTACAGACAGACATAATATCCTCTGTGGTTGTCCTTCACTGCAATGCTTCTTCCATTTGTATATAAAAACTGATTTCATCATAGCCATGCTCTAGTAGTGTGACCAAGAAATAGGCTACTCTATATTCTAGAGAGCTTCCATTTGGCCAAAACTTTATTGCACCTCAAATCTGTGGCGGCAACAATTGGACATCCAGCGTCGAAGGATATTCCTCTTTAGACAAGTGCTTTGTACCAATACACATTTTGTTTTAACCACGATATGCCAAACATATCAGAAGCTGCTTTATACATAATTCTAAGTCAAAATCAAAGCACATTATGCATTGTGTAAACCAACTGGAAAGTTTCCGTGGGTAATTTATCTAAGTAGGACACACACTGGTTTTCATTTTTTTCCTTTTCGGTAATCGTTTTTCTTTTTCTAGAGGGATTTCACTGCTTTCTTTCATTATTATTTTTCTTTTTGCCATTGCCATCTAGCTTTTCTAAGCCAGTACATGCCAATGTTAATAAGTATGCCAGTTTGCAAGCTTCATATTTGATAAGGTGAAGGCAACTTGTTTCTCTTGCTTCCAAACCTGACAGATATTGTTCTTTCCCCACCTCAATTTGGTCAATGGTTTCTTGGTATTCTTTCTCTCTGCTTTTGAAGAGTGACTCTGTGTCCTTGATCACTTTCTCCAAACTGTCATCTGACTGCTGAAGAAAGAGAGAGAGAGAACAGATGCCATTCATTAAAACCAAGGTATAGAACAGTGGTGGCGAACCTATGGCACGGATGCTAGAGGCGGCACTCAGAGCCCTCTCTGTGGGCACGCGCGCCGTCGCCCCAGTCATAGGCCTTCAGTTGGGTTTTATAAAACCTTTTTGTTTTAGGTCTCTGCCACCATGTACCAAAAAAAAAAAAAAAAAGTTCAATCAATCAGTCAATTTCAACTTCTCGCGGGAAAAAAAAGATCTTGCAAAGTTGGAATTGATTGATTGAACTTTTTAGTCCCACTCAGTCTGCCGTTACCACCGCAGCCACACCCACCCAATGGGCCACACCCACCTAGCACCTGATGATGCATAAGTGGGTTTTGGGTTGCAGTTTGAGCACTCAGTCTCTAAAAGGTTTGCCATCACTGGTATAGAAGGAGTCACTCCTATCACATGGCAGAAGAGCCCATATAACCATTATTTCTCTTTTAAAAGTCATTTATTGTGTTGTTTCCAGAAAGGCAATTTCACCTGAGAGTTAGTGTAACATAAGTTTGGGTAAGCTAAATTCAAGCTGTAAATCAGGAATGTTCCCTTTTCACTTTGCCTTAACCATGATCTTGCTGGTTGGCATTAGACAGATCACTTTCCCAGCTCTAGCTGCCTGCCCTTTTGCAGCTGGAGGTGTCTCAAAAAAATATATGTGCAACTGTTCAAAACTTCATATGGACTATACAACAATGAATAGTTGTATTTCAAGATCCTAAAAGCAACAGTGAAAAATGTGGGAGGTGGGAAACAATCTTGGGAAACCGAGTTCTCATTTCTAGTACAGGCAATCTGGAGCAATCAGAACTGAACCTATCCTCATTTTCTTTAAAATCTTCAACTGCTTTTGCATCTTGCTCTATACTTTCAAGACATCTCTTCCAAAATATTAATCTTTACTTCCTGCAAAACACTGAAAGAGATTTCCTTCACCCCTCCATTTTATCCTCTCATAAGATAGAGAAGGAAACAATATATGAACTAAATTTGCACCCAATTAATTCTCTGAGTGAAAGATTTAAACCTTGCCTCAACTTGGCACTTTCATCATTACTCTACCTAGGTCTCCTTTCTCATCCCACTATTTTTCTAAACTGGTTTAAAAATGGGTAGTTATAATGCTAACTGGAACAAAATATTGACAGCACATTATGACTTTATTAAAACATCCACACAGATTACTAGCTACCTATCTAATCTGCCTAGATGCTAAGAGTAACAGAACAAAAACCTGTTTTATGAGTTAGATAGCAATGGAATGGAACAGAACAGAACAGAATAGAATTCTCTCTTGGCCAAGTCTGATTAGAAACACAAGGAATTTATCTTCGGTACATAAGCTCTCAGTGTACATGCAAAACATCAAAATAATAATAATAATAATAATAACCATAATAATGATATCAATAGAGAAGGTAGTAGAACAGATGAGAAGGATAAAAGTAATACAGTCATACCACATGGATAATATACTTACCCCTGTTTCCCCGAAAGTAAGACCCTATCTTATTTTCTTTTGGGCTCTGAAGTAAGCACTAGGTTTTACTTTTGGGGAGGGCTTACTTTTTGCCAGTACCGGCATCAGTAGGCCCGGTGCGCAGTGGTGGGGGCGGGGCCTGTGTATGGGGTGGAGAAGCAACACAGTGGCAAGAGCATGGTGGCAGACCAGTTGTTTCCCTCCGCCTGCCAGACACCTGCCGAAGCCGCGCAGGGTAAGGTTGATGTGGGGGGGGGGGTGGAGTTGCTTTCCTCCACCTGCCAGAACCTGCCGAAGCCGCACAGGGTAAGGTTGCTGCCCCCGCTCCCGCCCAGATGCCCTCGCCTCCCCCAAGCATTTTTTTTTACTAACCTGCCTTTCAGCTGCACTGCGTTTTTCCATTCGCTTCTCAGCCTTCGCCACGTGTTTGGGGGACTACCAGTAAAAAAAAAAAAAAAGTTCAAATCAGACTTTTTAACTTTTTGCGAGATCTCAAGAAGTCAGAAAGTCTGATTGAACTTTTTTTTTTTTTGCCGGTAGTCCCCCAAACACGGCCGTTTGCCACCTCATGCGTCACGCCCAATGCCACTGCCATGAGGCTGCGGAACAAGTTGAGTGGCGGTATACCGGTATCGTGGATCAGATCCCCTCTCCCCCATCGGCTTCGCCTTGTCACAGGCAGGCCATCCTTGCAGGCCCTTAAGTAGGACTTATTTTTGGGGGTAGGGCTTATTTAAGGCCCCCCCCCCAAAATCAGCTGGGGCTTACTTTTGGGGGCGAGTTTGCTTTCAGGGAAACATGGTAAACATAAGACAGAACTGTGGAAATTAAACGTTTAGCAGAGTGATGGCACTCTAGTTATTTTGGGATGCAATGCTCCATGAGGATGTCAACTCCTCCCCTCATCACATTTATTTTTTATCTATTACATTTATCTATATTTTATTTTTTATTGTTAGTTTATCTATCGCATTTATGTAAATGTGATAAACAACCAAACAACAGAGTAGCAGTGTGATACAATGGTTAAGCAGTTGGATTAACCCTGGGGAGATCTCAGCCATGGAAGCTTTTGAGTGACTTTCAACCAGTCACTCCCTCAGCCCAACCTACTTTCCAGCATTGTGGGTTGTAGTGAAAAAAATAGAGGTGGAAGTATCTATCTATGCCATTTTGACCTCCTGGAGGAAAAGAGGGATATACATTAATAAATAAATCAGCAATAAACTGAATAATAATAACAACAACAGCAGGAAAGGCTCTCTTATGAAGAGATTTTCATTTTCTGAGGTCCATTTGTCAGGAACATTGGAAAAGTTGTTGTTAGGTTTTCCCAAGGTATGAAATAGCATCTCTTTTTTACATCTCGGGAAATAAATTTCCTGCTTCAGCTATATTTTTGTTTCAGTTAGAGCTAATTTATACCATTTTTAATTGTTTTTATATTGTATCAGATTGGTTGCATAGTGAGTGCATCAATTGATCATCTATTTCTTATGTTCTCATGTGAGGCCCAGTAATATGGAACTGCCTCCAAAGACAAAACAATTCTACAAACACACTACAAAGACTGAGTTTCATGTCATAGAAAAGACGCCATAATCTGGCATTGTGGACAGCTCTAACTTTATACCCTTCACATACATAGAATCCTTGTCTGAGAATTTATTTCTGCATCAGCTGACAAGTGCATCATTACTGTATAAACAGCTCTGGGGCTATTCTTAACAGCATTTCTCTATTAGAGGGCAGATGGACTCACTTGCATATGACCAGATAGCAATACTTTGCAATATGAAAGAAAGAATGTATAGAGATATGAAAACTGCACTATATGCACCTATTCTCTGGAATGTGATTGTACCTGAAATCTATGTTCCGTCCACTCTGAGGGTGTTCTGCAAATCCTAGAAGGCCTGGTAGTTTCCCCGGGCCTTCAGCTGAGGTGGATGGAACCCCTAGCTGGCTGTGTCTTGGTTTGCATTTTTGTACAGAATAGGTAGATCCCATTTTGCTTTGCATTGTGGGGGATTTTTCTGTTTATTATATTTTGAGGTGCCCATAGTTGTTATGGAGTTTGAAATAAATAAACTTCCCAAGAAGAGGAATTTTTCCTCCTTTCTTTGTGGGCCATAGTTTATGTTACCTCAAAGCAAGGGCAAAATCTTGATAATGAAGGGATTGCCCATGATTAGAAATCCAACTTTAAATAATCTGATGAGCTCATTGCTCTTTTTTAAAAAAAGGAAATTCAAATATGTAAACTCCAGAAACCAAAGAAATCTATTTATTCAAACAACTTGGTCAGAAAGTTGACGTGTGTTCTGTACACATGTAAACGTATGCCAAACACACAGCCCTTCTCACCATCCTAAAATGCGCAGTGTAGCGCTTAACACTTAGACTTATATACTGCTCCACAGTGCTTTACAGCTCTCTTGGCGTGGTTTACAACAATAGCATATTGCCTCTAACAATCTGGGTCCTCATTTTATCGACCTTGGAAGGACAGAAGGCTGAGTCAACCTTGAGCCTGTCAGGATCAAACTCCTGGCAGTGGGCAGAGTTAGCCTGCAATATAGCATTCTAACCACTGCACCACCATAGCTCCACCATCATGGTATAGAAATGAGTCAAAGAACCCAGTAAACAATAGGAGAGGCCTCGTGTAGAAGTGAAGGGGGCAGAATCTGGAGATGACAAAAATGACTGCTTGGAAGACAGAAGCCATATGTTACCTCTCCTTGTGCCTCAGCAGCAGCAATAGCATAGCCAGAGAAATCTTCCCACAACAGCAGTGTTTCTTCTGTCTCCTCCCAGGTGAGGCTGTCACAGTCATCTTCAAAATCATATTCCCTCCTGAGGATAAATTGTAAATCAATGGAGAGAATAAGTTTAAAAAACTGCTACAAGAGAAATGACTGCTACATTTTCTTCCAATTTCCTGTTAGACATGACAGGTTTGGGGAAAACCTTCCAGCCCTCTCTAATTCTGGAATGGATGTTTCTTGCATGTGGTGGCCATATGTAATCCAGGAGTTACAGCAATTGGGTACCAGTCCCTCTTTCCCAGCACACACACACAAAGTTGGAAAGCTTCCAGCATGAAGTTGGCTTTTCCAAAAAGAAGCATCTATATGATTCTTGAATGGTCCCACAATAGATCAGACTGTACAGACGGCCATTCTTTTCAAAACACAGGAGAGTCATTCAATTTTAAAAGACAAAGTTGCAGGATAAAGGAAGAGCCTCTTATATTTATTTTTTTTAAATGGCCCCTTTTTTTAACAGTAACAAGATTCAAATTCAGTAATGTTGTTTAAAAAGCTTTTTTTTTTTTTCAGAAATTGGATATGCAATTCCTGAACATGAGTTTGGTGCCTCTCTTTCCCCATCCCGCTACAGGCAGGCCTCACTCACAATTGATTCAGCATCCTCTGCATCTCCTCATTGATACTCGCAGTGGTCTCATCCTCTTCTTCCTCTTCTACTTTTTTGGGGGCCTCACTCTCAGAGAGGGAGGTGTCCTCATCACTGACCATCTTTCGCTCCCGTTTCCGACCCACTGTAGCTGGAACCTTAATGGGAGACAAGTGCAGAGACTACAGAACGAAGTTGGGTTGGAGATCATAGGTGGATGGATGAAAAGAGATGCAAAGGGGGATGAGATGGGATGGGATGGGATGGGATGGGAGAGAAAGAGAGAAAAGGGTAGATAGGTACAGAGAAAGAGAGAGAGAGAAGCTTATTATGACCAAGTTAAAGATGATGTGATGACTAAAATGCAAGATTAGAAACCTTATTTTTTAAATTAAAAGCTAAGCAGCTGAAGATGGAATCGGATGGGGGAATCATCCTTTAGAACTCAAATCACACATCAGAGATGGAGGCAAGAGGTCAAAACAAGACATAAGGAGAAAGAGAAAAATGCCAGGATTTGCAGTTAAGTTTTATTTTAAAGAAAAGCGTCTAACTTGGATATTTTTCCAGCTTAATGAAAAAAAAAAAAACAACTAACCAACTGCTTCTGTAAAGGAAGAAGAGAAAGAAGAATGTGTGCAAAATAGTGCAAGAAAGTGAGCAAGTGAATAAGACATAGAAGAGAGAGAAAGAGGGTGGGGAGGAGAGGAGAGAGACGGTGTTAGAGGGACACACACATTTTGCACCATGTCTTCCTCTCCGGCAACTTTTCCCCAGAGACGGCCCACCAAAACTGGATGGAGAGACGTTCTGGGGCTCCCTCGGTGGGAGTTGCCCTCCAATTCAACATGCCTGCCTGATTCTCCCATTGACAGAGGTGAACACATGGAATGAAGATAGAGTGATCGGGACTTTGCCCTTAGATGTTTCGGCTCCAGATGGGAAGGGAATTGTGCGCCTCTCACCTGAAACATTTTGATCATGTCCTCGCAGTTGCGCTGTTGGGCTACATCACACAATTTAGCTGTGATATCGATACGTCGACAAATGTCCATGTCTACCTTCATGGCCTTCTCTTGGATCTTGGTGTCCAGCTCACTAAGATTCTTAACACAGGCAGAAGAAACAAAAGAGAGAAGAATTAGGCCAAGCTCTCTGTAGCCCCTAGCACAAATTATTCTGCTTTGGAGGTCTCATTTAGGAACAAGGTAGGGAAGGGAACAATTGTATATGGCATTATGTTTTATAGCCAGGCATTTGATTGATCTCCAAGTATTATGACTGTCTGAAGTTATTCATTTGCTGTCTCTTTCCAGCCCTGTAATGAATTTAATAATTAATTTCAATATTTGGATTTAAGACCCCACATAACTCCAATTGACTCTGGGTGGCTCAGGACATTAAAACAACATAACAAAAATGCAATCAGAATAGAAACATTGAACATTAAAGAAGATGGTGAATCCAGACACTAATAAACAAACATCTCAATAAGGGTACAATCAGGGTACCCTAGCCCAAAGCTTGGGAGAAGAGCCAGGAACGCCATCAGGAGTCAGATGGGGGGGGGGTCAGCCCGTACAGGCATGCCTGGGGAATAGCATGCTCACATTACTCATCAGTCCTTTGAAAACGACCAGCTCTGCTTTTAGCTTCTCCACCTTCATGGCCAGCTCCTCCTGACATGCTTCTGCTTCTTGGGCTTCCTGGTTGAGAGATGGAGATATATAAATGAAAACAGGAACCAAGACAAAGGCAGGCTGCAGAGAGTGGGAAGAAAAGGAGTAGCCCTTACCTCGTGTAGCTCGGTCACTTGGTCCTGCAGCTGAACCCGCAATGTGTACTCCTCTTCCCACCTGAGAAGTCAAACAGGCCAAGGCTATGACAATGGATTGGACCCCAGAGGATGCCATGATGCAAAAGCCACCCTCCCGACTCCTCGCTCCCCACCGCAACCCGGTCTCAGCAGAGGAACTTTAAATGGATGTCATCTAGAGAACAGAAGTGCTGCAAATAAGCACAGTTACCCCACTGGAATGTGTTCCTATGACAGGTGGGAGACTCACCCCACATGCTTATCTCATCTTGATCTGGATTCATTGGCTACTCTCCCCCTCTCAATTGAGAAAAGTAACCACAAACTATGTTTAGCAACTGCAGCACGCTTTGAATATACAGTCATGACAGATGGTCCCCGCCTTTCATCCCTGCAATGCTGGATCAGGCCGATGGGCATGTCTAAACACAGGAGTTTTCCCCTCCTTTCTTCCGCATCTATACCTGGCACTCAGCTGTCTCTGGCCTACAGAGTATCAGTTTTCTAATGCCAACTAACTGGAGCAAATGCTTCATAGCCATTCTAATCTCCATAGGATATTAAATCAGCCAGAAGAGCCTTTGTCTACATTGAAGCAATTCTTTTTTGTTGTAACACATTCCCTGGCAGAATAGTGGAAAGCTCTGGACTTGGGAGAAAATGTCAATCAAATGCAACTCTACAAAGGAAAGAGAGCAAAACAGAGATTTGGAAAACTTAAGTACGAAAAAACAGGACCTGAAAAATCCAGAAATGCATATTTGTATCCCAGCCCATGATAAACAAGGGCAGAGACAGAGACCACTTTTCATAATAAGAAGCAAGTTTTTGTAGTAACAACAGACTTGAAAAAGTACAGCTCAAAGGCACAGTACACATTCAGGAATGAGATGTCATGTGAATTTCCAGAAACTAACACTGAGAGACAGTTTGGTGCAGTGGTTAAGGCAGACAAGCAAGAGTAGGGAGATTTGAATCCAAGTCCTGCCTTAGGCAAAAAGCCAGCCATTGGCCAGTCAGCTCTCTATGCTTAACTGCTGAAAATCATTGAATGTAGTATATTTGGAAGGACTGTATCATTGAGCTGCAAATAACATCGTCCATTTACAATACAACATTGCACCATGAAGTCTCAGAGTAGGAATGAAACCAACTAGTCATCTAGTTTTGCCTTTTATTCCAGGCTGGGAAACCCCAAAGCTCTAGTTGGACCCAATGGGAGAATTTTTCCCTATACAAAGCAGACTCCAAGCATTTCTGAAATTTCTTTCCAATCTGAGACTCTTGCAATTTTGAAGAGAGCATTTTACGATGAAGGTAGCTTCTAAGAATCTCTTAATTGACCCCATATCTTCTCTGTTCTGGGGGGTCAACCTATTCTCCAAAGCACCTGAAGGCAGAACAAGAAACAACCAATGGAAACCAATGAAGGAGAGAACCAACCTAGAATTAAGGAGAAATTCCTTGACAGTGAGAACAATTAATCAGTGGAACAACTTGCCCCCCAGAAGTTGTGGGTGCTCTTTTACTGGAAGTTTTTTCAAAAGGGATTGGACAGTGGTATGTCTGAAATGGTATAGGATCTCCTGCTTGAGCAGGGGGGTTGGATGAGAAGACCTCCAAAGTCCCTTCCAACTCTGTTATTCTGTGATTCAGTTATATAAAAGTTGTTAAGGACCAACCAAGCTACTTTATGATTCATATATTAGATCTCCATAGAGAAGCAGAATGCTATAAACACAGCAAGTGTGATGGAAAATATGTGCTGCTTGAATTGGTTGATCTATGTTGCAAGGCCAAGAGATGAATGACCCAAGAGATAAACAAAGCCATCTCACCATTCTCAGAAACTCAATAGAGGGAAAGGAATCTGGTCAGGAGATACAGCATAAAACTAGTATGCCAGTTTTTCTTTTCCCTCCCACTCTGAACATTTTTTAAACACTGCATAAAATCAACACCATTTTAAACTGCTCTTTTTCATCTAAAATCAAAGGCCACTTTGTCTTGCTTAGTGGAATTTTTTTCTTTGGCAAAGTCCAAGGCAAATATCCTGTAGGCTGTAGGCCAAAAAATCTGCCACTCACCCCACCCTAAAGGATCAAAACAAATGGATGATTACTCACAGAGAAAGAACACAGAAAATTGAGCAGAATATATAAAAGAATGACTCAAGTTGAGGACATGAAGAAGGAAGTAAACACACAGACACACACACACAAAGAGTCTGTGGGAAATATTAAGGGAGCGACAAATGGCTAGAATTATCACATATCCACTTAAAAAATGTGGCTGCACAGGTATACCAGTCCAGTCCCAATCCTCCCCCTACAAATACTCTGCTGTGTATTTCCACAAAATCTCCAAGTCATGTTCTATTTACCTGCAACTCTTGAACATAGCAATTTGCTGTTCTTTTGAAATATAAAAGGATTCCCATATTATGAAAAACTGTACAGGAAACTGCACGTGTCTATCTCTCCCTCCCTCCCCCCTGTCTCCCCTACCAGACAAAGAGATGGGCACAGGAGAAACTGAGGCTGCTTATACTTATAGAGCAGTGTTTCCCAAACTTGACGATTTTAAGGCATGTGGACTTCAACTCCCAGAATTCCACAGCCAGCGTTGCTGGCTGTGGAATTCTGGGAGTTGAAGTCCTCATGCCTTAAAATTGTCAAGTTTGGGAAATACTGTTATAGAGAGTGTGACTCTCTTTGTTATGTTCAAAAGCACAAGTGACGAAATGTCAAATGCTGGCTTTCATCCATACAAAAAGACAGCAAATTTGATTTAAATTGTTTGCAACTTCTAACTTTAGCAAATCATTCTATTTCACTGGGTTTCTGGAATGAGAATATGTCCTTTAGGTCCCTCCCAAAATTGATATGACCCGTGTTCAACTTTTTCATTCCTGTTTTATTAACGGGTGGAAATGGACTGAGCACTGATCAAAGAGCAAAACCAATCAGACTGGAAGAATAAGCCAAGCCTTCTTCTTCCCTCCTTTTTCTACATTCAGCCTCAACTTCTCTTTGCCCTCCCCACCAGGTTTACATTCGCATCTGCAATGCACCATTGCCTAATAATAGTCTTACTGCAACAGTCTCTCCATCCCACTTTGCACAACCCAAGCAAGCAGAGGGCAACCAACACACCGTTTCCTGAACTGACCTCATCACTCACATTTCCCCACTTACCCCACCAAAAAAAAGAGGGGGGGGGGAAGGAAACCTATTCCCAACTGAGCCAAAGCAACTGAAAGAACAACAACCAACCAGCATAGCTCTCTTCTCCACACAACAAAGTGCGATTCCCTGAAGAAATCATACTCTCAGCAGAAAGGGAAACCAAGACATGGGAACTCTAAAAGATTTTCAGAATCGGTTGCATCCAATTCAGGGGAGCCACTCTGAACAGCACTTTTTATTCCCTGTGTCCTGGCTCTAACATGCTCCCAGATTTATAGCGCAATAACTTAGTACATAATTGTAAATTCCCATATAGACTATGTTGTGCAACTGGTCTGATGTGTTCTGCTAAATCAGTGGTTCTCAACCTTTCTAATGCCGCGACCCCATAATACAGTTCCCCATGTTGTGGTGACCCCCAACCACTTATACATCAGCGGGTGCCAGGGGCGTGGCCAAAGAAAAGGGGGAAAAAATGGCGGCCAGCCTTGTTTGGCGACCCCCATGAAATGGTTGTTCGACCCCAAATGGGGTCCCGACCCACAGGTTGAGAACCACTGTGCTAAATGAATGATTTTATAGAAATAAAAAAAAGAAGGAATGGGAAAATATAGATGGGCTACAATAATAGTCCTAATTAGGCAGAAGGTGGCAGTAGATGATCTCCAAACTAATGCCCAACCATTACATTCTATGACTATCTGGCTTTTTACATTAAATTCTGCAAATAAGGACAAGGGGATCACCTGCTTAGAAACACATCTAGTCCCTGATTCAATCTATTGGTAATGATGGCTGTATGAGTACCAGATTCCTGAAGATTAGTTTTGGTCCACAAGAGCCACATTAAATGGCCCCTTACAGTCAGAGCCAAAGTAAGTCTACTCATATCTCTTATATATCTTTGCATGGATGCATAAATGTATGGAAGAATCTCATTGCTGTATTGTCTCAATTAAAGAGTCAAAAACCCTCACAAACACAGCATGAGAACAATGTGACTTCAGCATTTAATATTTGCCTTGTACATTCAGTTCTCCCACAATGGAGCCAGCAAAGAGGATCATCATTTCAGAGCATATTTACAATGCAGTCTTAAATTTGTTGACTAATCTCTGAAAACTTCTCGGCATTATTATATTGTACGTGAGTCCAACATTACCAAGGATTGCAAATAGATTCTCATTGCCATAACAAAACTATAATCCCCAAGATTTTGGAGAAACAGGCGCATGAGTTAAGCAGGTACAAACTCAAAGCAAATTTATAACATAAATTGTCATATTAGGTCACAATTTAGTAGAATTCATAATTCTGTCTTGCTAGAAAATCAAATAATTTTTTTGTGTATATTACCTGGTTTTGGCTCTTTCTTATCTAAACAAACCAAGAAACATCATCTGGGATTTGTCTTAGCATCACCGAATAACAATCTCTGGCTTGTTGCGTATAGCAAGCTAGACTCAAAACATATTTTGAATACTGACTTTGGCTTGTTAGGAGATCTGGAAGCAAACGTTCTCTCAATTTGCAATCACATCAAATAATTAGCTCTCATCAAGTCAAAATTAGGAATTACTGCATCCTCACATCTCACTGTAAGATCCCAGTTTAGATGCAATACTGTTCTAAACAAGGTTTTGTAATTTATTTAATGCTTCCAAATGGCAGGAAGAGCCATTGGGAATCAGGCTCTTGTTCACGAAGACATTGCTATAACTAAAGCAAACCTCAAAAAGGCAGTAAACTTAAGATTAAATAAAGATTATTAAATATGAAAAGGAGATCAAATTCTTAGATCATAAAATAAATGTGCCTTAAATGATTATCTGCTAAGCATAGTTTAAGATTA